TTGGTACAGTGACTCTGTATTCCTGTCATCTTCTCTTGATGTTTCCTGCATCATTCAATATTTTGCCCATAGAATCTTTCAATATTGCAACTCGAGGCTTAAATTTTTTCTTCAATTCTTTCAGCTTGAGAAATGCCGAGCGTGTTCTTCCCTTTTGGTTCTCAAACTCCAAGTCTTTGCACAGTTCATTACAGTAATTGGCTTTGTCCACTCTAGCTGCTCTTTGAAATCTTCTGTTCATCTCTTTTATCTTTTCATTTCTTCCATTTGCTTTAGCTACTCTCCGCTCAAGGGCAAGTTTCAGTCTCCTCCGTTATCCATTTTGGTCTTCTATTATTTTCTCATCTTTTTCGCGATCTCTCGTTTTCTTCATGGATATTGTTCTTGATATCCTCCCACAATTCTTCTGGTTTTCGGCCATTGGTGTTCAGTGCATCAAATCTATTCAGCACTTTGTAATGTTATGAAAATACAGTGAATAATATGGTGTTTCCATTTCCATGAAATGGATATTTAAGTATTTTGAAGCAAAAGAAAGAAGAAATACTATTTTTGTGAAGAACAAAACAGGATTAATAAGCTATTCAGCTTTTTCCCCCCCAAGGATAAAATTAACTATGGAAATAAGCACAGTAGTTTACCAAAAAATGTAGTTTTCAAATGATAATATAGTAAAAATGACTTTAATTTACAATAATGGGAAACAGAAGAGGAAATTTTTTTTCATGTAAATTCATATTAAAAGCAATTTCTTGTAAATAAAAATATATTTGTGGAAAAGTTATGAGAAGGGGCTATTTTTCAGACTGGTAAGGAAAATCATCTCTTAAATGGAATGGTTGGTATAAACAGATTACATACTATTTGAGATATCATCTGTTTAGGTGTTTAAAGCATGAACTAACCCAAGTGTTCCTTTCAAGAGTTAAGTCACTTCTTAAAAGAATGGTAAGAAATGCATCATGTAGTTTGCATATACAGATACCACACATTTTCAAAAAGCAAAGAAAAAAGACCTGCATGTTCAAAAGATTTTGGTTCTTTTTTTTTTAATGGTCAAAAAAAAAAAAGCAACGCAATAAAACCGAAAAAAAAAAAAAAATGTATCTGGAAAATGTTCCTAGCACATATTTCTAAAACCATGGTATTTAACAAGCTTGATTTCCCCAAGCTAAATTTGGGGCATTCTAATCTGTATTACCCTGCCCACAGTTTTAATTTAAATTCAAGAAAATATAGGGTATTTTGTTTGTCTTCTGTCATCATCTTTGTTGGTAAGTTTTGTGAAACAACAAAACTTGTGTGTTGTAATAAATATTGTGTAGTATCTGTTCTTCAACAGGATTATTTTAATACAAAAATAATCCTAGTTAACACAGGAAAGAATTAAGCAAAAAAATATAGGATAGTGGCAAAAAGTTATATATAGAATACTCTGTTAAATAGCATTATACCTCTTTTTTCTCACTAAAGTGCTACATTTTTATTTCATAGATGTATTTATTTGTAAGATCTCATTTAGATTTTGCTTTAAATTTGAGCATATTAATCACAGATATACAGGTGGAAAAACAAACAAAAAATTTATATATCTTAAGACTTCCTCCTGAATTAAAAATATATAAATGTCTTGGTTAGAAACTTCTGGATACATTTGAGAAATCATTTTTTTACTCTTTCCTCAGGGCTTAGGCTACCAGAGTAAAGAAATTATTTCCTTTCCTTGATCAGCCAGGGAACTATATATCAACTCCAAGTGATATAATCTGAATTTTGGTTAATGTTTGTGTTTTAGTGTGGACTTTGTCTAGTAGGGAAAAAAAAAAGACAAATTGATATAGATTATTTCACTTCTATGTTTAGTTTTACATTCCAACCATATTATTTTTGAGATAGGCGAGGACACATATTCTTGGATATGTTACTGTTTATTGTTTCAAGTGGATGGAATATATAAATCTCACTAAGTAGTTCAGTGTGACCCTCTTATATAAATAGGTTAAATGGAGACTTTATATAATCTGTGTCTTCATGTATCCATCATAAATTGTCATGATGACAAATGCAAAATTTCTTTTACTTGGCGAGGTTAACTGCTGATCCCTTTCACTGATAATATACATGTGTAGAGAACAAGAACCTTCTAAGATTGGAAGAAAGGAAATTAGATACTTTGCACTAAATTACTGAAATTTGGAGTTATTATGTTGACTACTGATTGCTGGAAAGCCAATGTTAAGAATCAATATCCAACATAAAACATTACACTTTGTTTAGTGATAATCTACTAAGAACTTCTATACGAGATACGCTCACTGGGAATCAGAAGTGGCTTTTTAAACTTTGAAAATCTAAACAATTTAAGGTTAGAAGATGATGAAGGTTCTCTTTCTCTCTGTAGCAGCCATTATGGTGAAAATCTTCATAGAATTATTTCACTATCAGCAAGAGAATTTCACTGCTATTAGTGGTCAAGGTAAAGTGGTAAAGGGAGAAGAGCGAGCTATAGAATAGAGATGTGTATATTATGTTTAAAGTGTGAAAAGGTAATAATAGAGACATGGGAAAGTGAGAAATTTCTTCTCTATGTGCCTGGCTAAAGACAAACCCCAAAGAGCAAGTTGTGTATTTTAGAAACCAATATAGGGAAACATCCACTGATAAGGGCCTTTTTTTTTTTTAGTTTTTACTTAAATTACACAAGTAGAAAAGTTATGCTTATTAATAGTTTAATGTATGAAGGAAACATCCAGATTTCTGAATATGAAGGTACATATCTCACATTAATTTAAGTCTACATAAAGTAGAGCCTCTATACTGACATATTGAAATTTACTTTCTGCTTAGCCGTTTTCTGTTATGTAAACAATTGTACATTTATTTGCCATTCTAAAACTTCAGGATCAAGTTTACATAATTTTGCTAAATTTCCGTGTTTGCTCAGAAGCAGTTTACAGTACTAAAACCAACCAGCCAAAGAACAGCTTCAACAGAAAGTTATGTCCAAAGGGCAAGAGGGAAAGAAAAAAGAAAAATGGTAAGAAAAATGCTAACTAAAGTAAAACGGATGACGATGGGGAATGGGCAGTCACAAATGTTCACAGAAAATAGGTCAGTTAGTAAGTTCTTCTGCAAAAAGCCTACACACTTCAGTCAAGCACATCAGTAGAATGATTTGGGAGCATAAATTTTTTTCAGCCACTTCTGATTTCCTCTGAATGAAAAGGATCTGCAGGCTAACAAGTTGATCTTCATCAGCCAAGCTGGTTCATATGCACACTGTTCATGTGAGGTGCCCAGGGTCCAGTCCACACCTACGAGTACACAGCATACATTTTATCAAATGTGCATTGAACATATACTTAATTAAAATAAAGTTTTTAAAACCTCTCTTCTTTTAATATATCACAAATGGGATCTGATTTACCACCCCACTCCGCCAGCCTTTTTTAAAACCATTCCTGAGTACATACAAATTTCTGGTTATGGAAAAACAATGAGTCAGATATATTAAACATGTATCAAACTAAGCTAAAATATGTAATCATTTCAATGAATTTTCAAAGTTTATCATATATTCTGTTTGGGTATTAAGAATACTTTTAATAAACCACCTACAGATAGTCTTTTTCACACCAATACTAAATTTTCATGTATACATTACATTACATGGTAATCACTTAGCAACTTAAAAATGTTTAATAACTGTTCTCTATCCAAAGGCGCTCTGGTGGTGTAGTGGTTAAGGCATCCGGCTGCTAACCAAAAGGCTGGTGTTTCAAACCCAGCCACTCTGCAAAAGAAAGATGGGGCAGTCTGCTTCCGTAAAGACTTATAGCCTTGGAAACCCAGTAGGGATTGCCATGAATCTGAATCAACTTGATGGCAGTGAGTTTGGTTTTGGTTTTGGGATCCACTATCCAAAGGAACATGTAAAACTTTTCATTATTTTACCTCCAAACCTCCTCCTTGCTACCATTCTCCACATCCATATTTTAGCTATTTAAAATTTCTCTAAATTTCCTCAAATTTCTATATTCATTGTACTTTCTCACTACCATGATTTACAGTATCCTGTCTGTCGAGGCATTTCACAAAACATGTAACAAACGTTTTTTCACTGAATGGCAGCCTTACCGTTTGAGGGCCATTATTTTCTGTGGAGCTTGAAACCATCTTTATTAGTGAGTTCCAAGAGGGGTCTGCAGCATGAGGGCCATTAAATATGGGTCCTCCAGCACCATCAGGGATAGGTGCTACTGGAGGAATCATTGCGTTCCCATACACAGAAAAAGGCATACCCTTCAGAAGGAAGAAAGAAAAATTACACACATTTGTGTCAATGTTGATTTTTACTAATATAACATATAGCTATAAAACAGATATTTGAACCTTCACCTCATTTTGGAAAAGTGTAAGTTATCTAGGGAATATAAAAATTATTTTCCATTATAAGATTCCTTCTAACATCAGATTTATTATAAATAAGCCAACTGTATCCTATTTACTTTATGAAAAAACACTATTCTAAATATTGGGACAAAGTTAAGACTTATAAATATTTGTAAATATTTATATTTTAGCCAGATTTTAGCCTGTTAGTAAAGTCCTAAGCCTCAGCATAATTTTATAAATGGTTTTTCATTGGAAATGAAAGAAAACTAAGAATAAGACATTTAGAAATAATAAAAATGCCTATTTAAAGCAACATTACCCCAACTTTAGGAAAGTCCATGTATCCTGCAGGAACATGCTGATGGAATGTACCAGAAGGAGTTACAATTCCTGTATTATCTCGCTCCATTGCTTGATGCTGTGAAAACACTCCTGGATCAGACATTGGCCTATGAATCATAGGGTTTCCCATCCCGGGGTTACACCAGTCTACTTTGTCTAAGGGAAAACAAAGAGGCGGGGGAAGAAAAAAATTAGTGATATTTAAAATCAAAGGATAGCAAAATAAAACATTTTATGTATTTTTATCTAATATTTTCCACACTGAATTGTGAATTCTTTAAAAATAATGACCAACTTTTCTATATTTATTGCAGTATTTTTATGTTTATAGGTATATTGTAACTTAATAAAGTAGCCTAAATACTTGAGATACAAAATAAAAAGAAAGAAAAGCTAAAGAGGCTCAAAGGAAATAGTAACATCTCCTTAGTAGGACAAATAAAGAAAAGAAGATGCTTATAGTAGATATTTTTCAAAAAAAAACAAAACAAAACATAACATTTCCTGAACTCTTAAATAAAAGTGATTAAGTAATCAAGAAATATGGGTACAAATCTTTAAAACATGACTATCAAATTTAAATAATGTTTGCAATATTATAGTTAAATGCATAAACTAGAAAGTAGGATAAAACATCATACCTTGATTGCCACCAATTCCTTCAAAGGACCAGATGCCACTATGCCCTACTGATGTGGACAAATTACTCCCAATAACAGATGGAGCTGAAGTTCCAGTTTGCCTGATACGAGCAGAACGTTCAGTCCCAATAGGGACTGGAACTTTCCTGTCCTGAGAGACGTTGCTGGGCTTTTCTGACCCTAAAGGTACTGATGATGGGGCAGGAGATGGTGCACGCACACCAGAGGATACTGACTGTGCAGGGGAATCTGGAGAAAAGACATTTGAAATGGTATACATGTCATCTGGAGGATGTACTTTTCTAAAATCTATTTCTAAAAATAAACAAACTTTTGAAGATATTTAAAATATGCATTCTGAAGGAAAATGAAATATTAGAATATGGTTTAAGAAGTACAAGAATAATAATGAAGTACAAATTTAAAATGTCAGTAATCAATTATGCATATTAAAATTTGTTTAAAGTTTCATGACATTGCAGTCATTTTTTAATCTCGCTCACAATTTTTCCATTTAATTAGTTAGATAATAATTGTTATTGTTGTTGTTATGTGCCCTCAAGTCCGACCTGACTCATAGTGACCCCTCCTTGGGTTTCTGAGGCGGTATCACTACTGAAGTAGATTGCCCAACCTTCCTTCCGAGGAGTGCCTGGTGGGTTTGAACCCCCAGCTTTCTGGTTAGCAGTCAAATGCCTTAGGCACTATGGCACCAGAGCTCCCTAGATAATAATAGGATGTGAAAATGTCAACACTGCAAATTGGCCAACTACACATGTAATTGTGGTGACACAATGGTTAAGCATTCAGCAGTTAACTAAAAAGTCAGTAGACTGAACCCACCAGCTATACTGAAGGAGAAAAGACCTAGCAATCTGTTACTGTAAAGATTAAGGAGCTCTGGTGCGACAGTGCCTAAGGCATTTGACTGGTAACTAAGATCAGCAGTTCAAATCTACCAGCTGCTCCATGAAAGGAAGATGGGGAAATCTACTTCCATAAAGACTTACAGCCTGGGAAACCCAGTAGGGGGTCACTATGAGTCAGACTTGACAGCAAAGATTACGACCTAGCAAACCCTATGGGGTACTTCTACTCTGTCCTATGTCACTATGAGCCAGAATCAACGGGAGGGCACAGAACAGCACATGTAATTAAACTAATTAATATTTAAATGAATTAAACCATGGCACAGAGAAAAGGCAATGTTTAAAACACAAACAAAATGAAGATAAAGGAAAATTACTGCCTCTATTGTAATTCTCAAACTGTATTCTTAGAGAATGCTTGTTCTTTGGTATGTTATAATAAAAATACAAAAGGATTCGATTGTCTAACAAATTCACAAAATCAGGCACTGTGCCACCAGAACTCCTTAATATATTTATAAAATCTAGGTTATGGAGGGGGAAAAAAAAAAGTCAGTATCAACAGAACATTAATATGCTAATAAAATACCAAGATAAAATGATAAGGCTATGCCTCATCACCCAACTTCTATTAGTTGTATCTTGTGAGTATGCTACAGTTTTTCTACACACTTTCAAAAGTGGCAATCTAAGTTTTATTTATCAAAACAAGATCAGTTCTGAATATAGTCAATCTAGGAGTATTCCTTAGTGATTCAATTCTCCTCCATGCTGTTACAAAGGACAAAAAAAATCGCAAAATTATATGTCATGTGAAAAGTTGAAATATCATTTACATTTAAATGGGGTTTAAATGGTAGAGGAGTTTGAAGACAAATTAAAAATTACAAGCAAACCCACGATCTATTCATAATTATCTGATTGTATGACCTAAAGATAATCTAATATTTACATCTATATACTTACATCTATGTATACATATACATTTACATTATATATACTTGCATGTATATGTGTGTGTGTGCATCCAAAGGGATTTACAAAATCTGTCCATCCATCACCTACCCACACAAAAATATGAAAGCATACTGACTCTAACTCCCAAGGTACTTTTTAGAGAATTTAGAAGATAAAAACAAAGTTCAGTTATACTATTAAACATAATACATTTTTATGAAGACTTCTCATACACAGTCTTAGAATCACACACAGCTAGAAAGTACTACAGAGATCAATTCCATCTTACTAGTGCTCTCAGAATCTACTTTTGTTAATTAGAGAGCAGTATCTATCATTGAGTTGGGGTGACTACTCACTACAAGATCAAGGTGAATAATATTTTATAAATTATAATTTCTTATGCAGATTGTTATTATTGGGGCACAAAAAGATGAAACATATAGGCTTATTTATAAAAGTAAATAAAAAATGAACTATTCCCCCTCTAGTGAAAAATAAAAATATATTTATCTCCTGTGGATGTGGATCAAGGAGCTATGGGGATACAGTGGTTAAAGCATTTGGCCGTTAACCAAAAGATTGGCAATTTGAACCTACTAGCTGCTCCTCAGAAGAAAGATGAAGCAGCCTGCTTTTGTAATGATTTACAGTCTTGGAAACTCTATGGAGGTAGTTCTACTATGTCCTATAGGGTCACTATGAATTGGAATCGACTCAATGGCAGTGGGTTTGTGATCCTGGATCCATTAATACCATTAACAGCATTTATTTTTAACAAATCATAAAAATAAAACAGTAAAGTCTCAGATGTATCTTTAAGGCAATTATAAATAATATTTTTACATTTTTAACTAACGATATTTTTCTTAATTCATATAATTCATGAAATATTTACCTTAAAATTATACTGGTAAGAGAGGGAATTCTGAGAAGATGGAGGTGTCAAGACAATAGGTTTTGACCTAAAACCATAATAACCACCAAATAAAAAGTAGGAATAAACTTGCCCTAATTCAGGGCATAAATATGCTATTGAATATAACTAAAAACACCTGAAGACAAAATAGATGACTGGATTCTCCTAAAAGATTAAAAAGAAAACTCAAAAACTGGGAAAAATGTTTGGCAATGATTTATCAAACAAGGGGCTAATCACTAAAATTTACAGAAAACTTCAAAACCTCAACAACGAAAAGAAAAATAATCCAGTTAAAAAATGGGCAGAGGACATGAACAGACACTTCACCAAAGAAGACATTCAAACAGCTAACAAACACATGTAGGAATGCTTGTGATCACTGTTGTTGTTGTTTGCCGTCGAGT